AAAAGAACTTTCAGCACGCACTTTTGTGGTGCTGTCGCGCTGTCTCATAAATGTTTTGGCAATAAAACGCAAGTTATGATAATGCACATTGACAGGCTGGCAACATGTCACAGTACAATGACATGCAAAAAATTTCAATTGATGACGAAAGCTGCGACAATAATGGGCGATTTGTTGTTGAAAGGTTACGCTTACGCACATCAACTTTACGTTAACCGTAATCATGGTTTCTAACTGGAGTTACCTAACTAGTTGTTTACCCTTTGACTCTCCACGAACTCAAAGAGACATCATTCAAGTTTTCGATCGATGACTAGTGAATGGTAAACAAGTATAGATCATGCTATAACTGACAGATGAGAGTAAGCAGATTGTAAATATTTAATTAAATGAATATTTTTGTATGGAGAACTTCTAACATTTTCGATAATGGGTTGTCCTCTTTATACCCTGAACCCTATCAAATATGTATTCCTGATTACAGCCGAGTCGATATAGCCATGACCGTTTGTGTGAACACGCGGATCTTGAAGACTATAAGACCTTAGTTTTAACTTTTAAAGGGAAATTTGGCAATAAGAATATATTTGAGAGCTGGGGACTGCTGCATTCTTACTTGTTCTATTTGTCATTTCAAAGTTGCCAAGTTTTCCTTTTACATTTGTATAATGTTTGGGCTGATTTTCGCTCATATAGCAATTAGTAACATTCCTCAATTATTCACACAATTTATAGACCTGCTAAATCGTTAAGTTGATAAACTAATGTTCTTTCTGTTCTATGCCTGTTTCGCGTTACATACTCTTCGCTAGTTTGGTTTCTTAAACATTTTGTGCGACTTGTCCCTGCTCCTGCTCGGTAAACAATCACATTAATCATGCTACAAATTGTTGGATTGTAGCCAGTTGAGTTGTTGTGGGGGTGGGTAAGGAGGTTAGCCAAGTGTTGTCAACATCGCCATAACCCTTCATCGAGCATCGAGTAAACGCCACATTCATACGAATGTGTGGCAGTTGTGGCTCTGGCGGTGACTCTGCCGGTGGCGTTGGCGTTGGTGGTGACACTGGCGACATTGGTGACGGCAGCAGCGGCCGCAATTAATAATACGTAATTTATGTTGCGCATTCAGCTCGCATTTGACTTTTTGGGCCAAAACACTCAAACTTATTGACAGTTTTTCATTGCCTATGCGTGGGTCGTAGAGAGCAAACATACAACATAAATAAATAAAAGGGTTACGGGTTACGGGTTACGGGTTAACGGGCAAAGGGTTTTTTTTTTATCGGGTTTTAGGGCGCTTTTATTGCTGCACTTCAGCTTGCCACTCTTTTGCGCCTTCCTATTGAAGCGTTACAATTTACAATCGAAGGCTTCGCCACTCATGTGGAACCAGCTATTTGTGCAGCTTTCGATCTAGCACTACGAGCAGACGGAGTATGCGGGTTCGTAACTTAATTTTGGGTTTTTCAATTACCCGAAATTAGCTCTATCGATGATGGCAATCGTCTAGGCAGTCCCTTAGCCCTTCTCTGGCTCCCTCTATTTTCTCTGTTGGCTAATCCGCAGAACAGTGCACTCGTCGGCTTTGGCGTTCGTGCCAAATTCGATTAGTAACAGTAACTGTTCGTCGAGTGCTTGACGTTTGGCTTAGTTGAGGGTTAGCCACTGCAACGATAATCGGCAAAGCGTTTAATCCAAATTAAGTTGTACCCAAACTGGGCGGACATCGTGCCAATTCCTTTTTGAAGATTACAAACTATGGCATTATTAAATTAAATGTTGCACCTACCATATTCGAAATGACAACACTTGTGTTCAGTTAAAGGGGGCTTTCTGCATGCTTCTGCATTATATAAAGTCACATCGGAATCCCCTAGACTTAATTTGATTTAACTGTTTTACCTTACCAATTTTTTCAGAAAACTCTTACGGCTAATCTGGAAAAGTTTAATACTTTTAGAGATTTTGCAAAAAGATACATCAAAAGACTCTGCATTTATTTTAAACTAATTTAAACTTTCTTTGTTTAGTAAATAATAGTAGCACAATTAACGGATATACACTGTAAGAACTTTGATTAAACTGCGGAAAAACCTTTCAGGAGTTTCCTGATAATGTTTAAATAAAGCTTTCTTTTCGGTCGAGCGATTTACTGTGCCATTCGATTACTGCCCATTTATGCATAGGGATATGATTTCGTCATTGCAATTTACAAAGAACAATTCCATTATTATTCACAGCATGTTAAAGTGCAGACTTCGCTAATTGACTCTTATACCTGTATATAAATACAATTTTGGCTAATAACTCTTCTTGTTGTTTGACTCGATGAATGGCAATAGTAAATAATGGCATTGTTACTTCCCAATAACATTGGTGAGTTCCCAATAACATAACAGTTTGCATGCCTATTTAGCTGTATGCTGTACACTTAACTGTAAATGTATCTATATCTGTACTGGCCATTGTGGCGAGACTATGGTTAAGTGGGGTGGGGACTTAATTATGACACTGCATATTTGCACGCTTTATTTGCGTATTTTGTATATATATTTCCGTATATTTGCAATGATATAAAAGCTTCCTCAGGTGTATTGAAACTGGTCTTATTGCTCATTTGTGCAAACATTTATTTCCTTGTTATTTGCCGATGTTGATTTTGGAATTCTTGTTGCATTTTTGTGCAACACAATGGGAATCGTCCTTTGTCCGGCTTGCTTGACGAGTGCGTTCCATTTGACGGCATCTGACTGGCCAAATAAGCGTATAGACAATAATAATAGTAAAACACTGATATCTTGTTGCATGTATTTTGTTGTTTTTTGTATTTTTGTTGTTTTTATTTTTTACTTGTTTTTTTAGTAATAATTTTTATTTAATTTCCTTTGTTTTGTTGTTGTTTAATTAATTTTAATATAATTGCAGTGACATGAGGTGTTGTTGCTTCATCGTATTTTTATATTTTATATATATATATATATATATATATATTTATATATATATGTATATATATATATATATAGGTGTATATAATGCCGGTTCTTGTATTTGCTTTTTTCATTTGTTGTGTTTTTGTTTGAATTTTTTAAATTTAATTAACTATAATTAATATTGCTTTTGCGTATAATTCAATCAAAATAGAGCTAAACAAACACAAAAATAAATCAAACATATATATATATATATATAGATACATATATATATATATATATATATATATATATATATATATATCGGTATAAAAAGGAAAACAAACTGCGCTACAACTGTGCTGATTTTTTAGTATTAATATTCAATTTTCTTTTATTTGTTTTTATTCTGTTTGTGTGTGTATATGTGTGTGGATGTGTGTGTGTGTGTGTATGTGTGTGTGTGTGTGTGTATGTGTATGTGCTTGTTGGTTTTAAGGGGAAAGGGGGTGTTTCAAACTTAAAGCAGTTGCTGTTTGCTGCGTCTTTGTCGCTCTAAACTTATGCGAGGAACATGCGTTGAATGCCTTTCAATAATTCACTTATATAAAAAAAAAATATTATTTTTATATATACTACTATATATATATATATATATATATATATATGTATATATATATATGGTTTATTTATGATAAAATCCAAACACACACAATAATACTAAGTAGCTATAACGAGTCTGTTCTAAAGAATTATAAATATACAAAAAAAAGTGTCCTGTTCTTTGGTTTTAGAACTTAAATATTAGCAAAAAAAAATAGATTAAAAAAATAAAATAAAATGAAGTAGTTAAGAACTCGTATTATAGGATGCGATTTCTTGAAACTGTTCTATATGCTGCACTATAACTGCACTACGTGTGTGTATGTGTGTGTGTGTGTGTGTGTGTGTGAGTGTGTGAGTGAGTGTTGCTGCTACTAAGTGTCTAAAGGAAAAAGCACTTGAATGCTTTAGAGCCATATCAGAGCAGGAATCGGCAAAGGTTTTCCAAACAGTTGCAGTACCTGCTTCCTAGGCCTCATCTGCATTGAACGCTATGGGCTAGGGGCTGGGGTAATCGGGCCGTGGTGTGTTCAAAATTATTATAAATTATGCATTTGTATGAATGTTACGGTACACGGTACTTAAGAACTACATAAATTAGTTTAATTATAGGTAATTCTTTCGCTTCTTACGCATTTTTTTATATTATTGTTTTATTATTTTTTTTTTTTTGTATTTTTCGTTTCTTATTTAAATTTTACGATTACTAAAAAAAAATTTCATCCTATGACTAAGAAAAAAAATGTACGCTCTTCGCTTGCTTATATATTTTTTAAATTTTTTTTTGTTCTCATTTGCTGCTTTTTATTAAAGGTTACATTGTAATTAAATTTACACATATGCATATGTTTATATATCTGTATATATAAATATACATATATATATATATACATGTATTTATATATATATATATATATATGTGTATGCATATATCTATATTTAGATAGATACATATGTGTGTATATATAAGTATGTACGTATATATATATATATATATATACATATAAATATATATATGTATATAGATATAGGCGCCATCTTTGATGTTGCTAATTTGTTTCAATCGTACAATATCAATATATATATATATATATATAGATATATGTATATATTTAAATTTGTGTGCCCCTGGGCGCAATTTATTTTATTTTCTCAAACTCTGCTCTCTCAAAATGTGCTCTCTCTCTCTATTTCCCTCTCTCTCTCTCTCTCTCTCCCGCTATACATTATCTATATAGAAAAATGTGTATATTGTGTGTTGTTTGTTCGTTACATACATATATTATATTTATATATATAAGGTTGTTATGCTTAATTGCTAAAAGGGAGGTGTTTTTATTTTTTTTTATTTTAAAGGATAATGCAAATAGCTTGAACTAATTGCAAGAGCACTGGGCAACGTTTAAGGAAACGAAAACAACTCTATTTTTCCCACTATATATATATATGTATATATACTTTTTTTGTCCACTCTCTTTCTATCTCTGACGATCTCTCTCTCTCTCTCTTTTTATTCACTCGCTCTGTCTGTCTCTTTAAACTAGGTTTTAAAAGCTGGCGGGTCCTGCGCATCACAAAAAAAATTACAGGCTAGGCGTTGCTTAAATATATCAATACCCCCTAAAAAAAAAAAAAAAAAATTGTTGAATTACAACTATACGCAAAGCGACCCGCAACATCTCTAGGCTCTATGGGTATTAAGTGTGTGTGAGTGTGTGTAGGGTATGTGGGTGTTTACTACATGCTATATGCTACAATGCCGATATAGATCGCTGGCGCTATTTACAGTGGGAGCGTACGCAGTGTTGGCTAACTGCCGCCACTGACTAGAGCCAAAGCCAGGGCCGGAGCGCGGGCCATTGTTGGGCCCCACCAGCAGCTAGTGGGTGCCGCACGCTAAAGCTGCTGCAGCTGCACCGTTTGCGGTCAGACATCAACATCTAAATCAATGATCGAGCTGCGATCCTGCTCATCATCATCATCATCGTCATCGAGGCCGCCCTCCTCGCAATCGGAGCGGCCGTCCTGTAATTGTCACTGATCCGTACCACCCGCCGCCGCCGCATGATGCGCATGTGTATGCCCGTGCGGATGTCCATGCAGATGCGGATGCTGATGCGAATGCGTATGATGCACCTGCGTATGATGCAGCTGTGCCGATTCCTCCGATATCAATGAGGCAGCCGCTGCTGCCGCCGCTGCTGCAGCTGCCGCCGCTGCCGCAGCGCTGCCATTGTGCTGCACCTCGAGACCGTTGACCATCTTCTCCATGCTCTTCAGCTCCGATGGCGAATGCTGCGGCTGTCGCTTAAGCAACGATGGCGGCGTTGTAGGTGACATTGATATGGGTCGCGTCGGCGGCGAATGCGAGGAGGCTCGCGGCCGCGGGCTCGAGCTCAAACTGCGCGGCCCATTGTCCAGGGCCAAACCACCGCCGCCGCTGGTGTGCAGCAGATTGGGCGGAGCGGCTGCATCGGCGCTGCCATTGCCGCCGCTGCGATTCGCATTGGAGCCGGGCGTTACTGCATCGAAGGCGCTGCCCAGGCTGCCCGGCAAACTGTACGGCGAGAAGCGATGGCTCTTCAGGCCCTGCAGCGGTGATACGGGCGTGTGGCCAGCGGCCGCATAAGCGTGCCCAAACAACGCCGGATGCTGAGCGGCCAGAGCTAACTGCGCATTGAAAAGCAGACCAGGATTGAGACCGGCGGGATTCATGGCAGCGGCTGCTGCCGGATTGTGCAGCAGTCCCAAATGCGGCGGCGGATATAGTCCGTGCGGATAGAGGTAAGGCAACAGATGCGGCGACGGGTGTATCGGTGGTCCCACTGAGATATTGGGCGACGGATAGCTGCCGGCTGAGCTGAGACCTGCTGCTGCCGCTGCAGCGCCTGCACTACCGCCAACACCCTCCTTAGGGCTGCCCGTTGAGGTGGGGCGAAAGGCACCGCCGGTGCTGCCGCCGACGCTCTCCGAGCAACTTGAATCGCTGCCATCCCGCTCCATATCGTCCGCTTGCAGACGGCGACGCAGTGCTTCCTCCGCATTAACCGCTGCCGCATGCTCACCGGCGCTAGCGCCAGCCAAATGATTAAACCAGGCAGCCAGTGCTGCTAATGCAACGAGTGGCAAGTAAAGAGTGACGAGTAACGATCAACGGGTTATATGTAACGAGTAGAAAAGAGCGAGAAATTTGTAGCAGTTAGACATGTTGCTAAAAGCATTGGATCAGCTCAGCTGAAAGACACTGCTATTGCTGGTTCTATGTTCGTTTGACTACTCACCCGAGTGCTGGTGCGCATGCATCTGCTGCAGCGAGTGGCTCAAGGGCAACAGCGGACTCTGTGGTGGCCCCACCACATCCAACAGTTTATCCTCATCGTCCTGCTGATTATCCAGTAGCGCCGCCGCATGTGCCGGATGCAAATGTGGCGGTCGACCTGCATGGCCCAAATGCAGTGGCGCCCGTGAGCTGCTCACATGTGTGGGATTTAATTTGTCCGAGTCGGACCCTCTATTCGACATGAGCGCCTGCCTGTAACAACAGTTGGACGAGAACACAAAACAAATTAGAACATCCAATTGTCAAATCGAAAATGCTTCTATACCTAAGCTAAGCCAAAGCGTTAAATGAGTTAAAAGTGTTGTAGCAAATTATATTCATATCTACATACACATATACATATGCTGCTGAAATATTAATTCAATCCTTTTTGTGAAAATAGTCAATTTTACAGTCATGATATTTAGACTTACTGGTCTGAGTCTATGCATCTATATCAACTTGCAACGTTTATTAAGTTTGCTTTAATTCTGGACTCACATATTCCCAGAAATTAAAGAAATAAATAACAACAAAATGTTTCTTTTTTTTGTTTGTTTCTTTGCTACTTAGTAGCTGTGAAACTTTTTTAAATTCCAATAGGTTTAAGTAAATGCAGGATTTGTCCACAGTATTAAGCAGCCGAATATCGATAAACCGGCAGAGGTTTGCAGCAAACCAAAAAGAAAATTATTCTCCCTTCATGCTATAACACTATTCTTTTTATCGGCTACATTCAAATATGTCGAAAATTGAATGAGTTGGAAATCCAATCAAAATGTTGTAATATTTTGCGTTTTAGCGCTGTTGTTCTATGCATTAGGCTTTTTGGATATACGAGGCACTGACATAATATTTTTGCTTGCTGGAATATCTGTTAAATGATAAAACGCCGCTGCCGGCAACTGAATGTAATGTAGTTGGTGGAGGATTTGGTGTGTGCTAGGAGCAGAGGGGGAGGGGCTGAATAACCGGAACCTTAATTGAAATGTAACAATGGCAGGCGGAAACAGCCGGCAGTTTGTGTCTGGGCCGACAATGAAATTGAAAAATAATTCAAAACACGTTAGTGTAATTTAGTGTCTGCACTGTCCGTAATGCCCCGTAAACCCCCATCACACCCCTATACACATACACATACACAAAAGCTCACATACACACACACACACACACACACTGCCGGGGCCAGCTTGTCCGGGTTGATGGTTAAGCTACGTCCATGCATTCTGTACGTTTGCTTTTTTGTTGTTCACACATCAAAGCAACATTGCCAGCGTTAGTCCGTGTTCGCAAATTGGGCAATTTACTAACACACACTGCCAGGCACACACAAACACACACAGACACACACAAACACACACGTATGCATGTGTGTATCATTATCACAGCAACCACAGGCCGGAACCACCCATAGACAGGAGCTAGCAATTTCGCCACAGGCGTCTTCTTTTACACTTAACTGTTTTTCCACGTATTTCACATCACCTGTGTGTGTGTGTGTGTTTGTGTGTATGTGTATATATACCTAATTTAATAGCAAATCAATTTGTGTTAATCCAGGCAGCGTACTGAGCCCACCCACTTGACAGCAAACGGCAACAACTGCTGATGGGAAGCAAGGCAGCGCCCAAATTGGGGCGCAGAAAATACATTGCTGTTGCTGCCTAAAAATTGCACACTGTCCAAATAATACTAGACCTGCTACAGGGTTCAGGCTGTAGACACCAAAAATATATATAATGTACATTAAAAATGTTTAACGTTGCACCTTACCAAAGTCTAAACATAGCGCTAAACCGCTCCTGTACATTACATGTTACTTAACAATAAATTTCGACACTCGCACGAAAAGGAACTAAGACGTTTATCTTGGCTTTTGTGATGTTGCCACCGCTAACACGCCCCCTTTTTGCAGTTGCAGTTGCCCAGGGGTAAAGGCGCCCGAAAGTTGTTTGAAATTGCGCGTTTTGTCTGCTTGCGTTGCCCTGTAATTTTTGAATTATATCTAAATTTGCGGCTTAATGCAGCCCACACACACACACACACATACTCACATACACACCCACATGCCCACTCGGGTGACGCCCAGCACAACATTGGCAAATTAGCAGCCACATAATATAACTCAGAGAGAGAGAGAGAGAGAGATAGAGAGAGTATTGCTATAAAAAGAGTGCGTCAATTGTCAACTGACGCCTGCGGCTATTTGTCTGCAGCAGCAGGAAGGAATGGGGATGGGGATGGGGAGGGGGAGGCTTTGGAGAGATGCAGACTAGCTAGCAAATAAATTTGAAAAGGAATTTCAATTGCTGGCAGCTTATCCGTTTGGTTTGCTGCTTCTACTGTTAAAACGGTTTTCACTTTAGATTTCCGTTTGCGCCCGCTGGCAATGCCAAAGCAATTGCAAAGAGTTGCTCAACGAGTGGGGAGGCGAGGAAGCGAGATGAATATCATTCCGGCGGAAGTTGCACGGAAGGGGGTAGCGGACTGTGGCATAGTTGCCACCAATTAGCGGCGCTTGCTGTGAAGCGACACCCAAGTCGCAGGACGACGACGAACGATATAAATGTCGTCAGGGTGTTGTTATTGTTGTTGCTTGTTGTTGTTTGTTGTTGTTTGTTGTTTGTCGTCGCTGTTGTTGCTGTTGCTGCTGCTGTTGCTAATGAAGCGCGTGTTCTACAAAAAAGGGTTAACCACAAAAAGTTCACTGCCGCATTGAGAGCTGCTTAAATGTTTTTTGTTTGCTGCCAATTGATAAGCCCCGGAAACGGTAAAGAAGTTATTTGTCCTAAGTCGCACTAATTGCCCAGGTGATTATGAGCCAGCACACTCGGCATTCTCGGCTAATTGAAAGTCTATTCACAAGTCTAAGCTCTTTAGTGGTTACAGGCTGTGGACACACCAACACAAACAACACCCCTAACCCCAAATAAACTTCAAATCAAAACACTAGCCTACTCTCGAGCGCAGGCATTTAATTAATAATTGGCGTTAACTTTGGACAGACAGCCTTAAGTCAAGCCAAGAAAGCCAAAAGTCTGACACATACTTGTCACAGCAATGACCAGCCAGTTGCTTGGACCTCAAAATAAGGCGTATTAGGGGGATGCGGTGTGGCTGACTGGTAAATGAAGTCAAGGCACACTTTTTACAGACAGCCAAATGGACAGGCAGAAACCAGTAAAACAAGTAAGTAAGCCACATCAGAGTATGTACGACTTGAAGTTATCCTGTAGCCAGTGATGCTAGCTCTTGTTAGCAATAGAGATGGCATTTGAATGTGTGCTAATTGGAGTTGAAACATCCGATTGAATTCATAAAATGTTACAAGATTACATTTACATTTCAAATGTTTAAGAATGCAATTCCAAAAAAAATGTACAAATAAAAAGCATACAAGTAGCTACTATACGAGCTAGATACATTCCGCCTGATTAAAACATTTCATAGTCAGTTTAAATTTGTAAAGGAAATCAAACAAAAACCATTACCACAACGAAACAAACAGTTTTGGCAAGGGATTTTGGTTAGCGGGAAGCGAAGTAGGGAACTTGGCGGCTAATGCCAATCAAGGCGATGTAATCAGTTTTACAACAATCAGCAACTAAAACAGGATGGGCAGCCAAGTAAATTGTTTGTGTCAATGCAGCAAACAGAAGACTGATGGAGTCGTTTCTGTTCCACGTTCCTTTCCGCCCCAGCTCATCATCGTCATGTCATTGTCAGTTACACACACACACACACACACACATATACATACATACCCATAAGCACATACATACACAGAGTGAAAATTGATTTGTAACGTTTAACAAAACGTTGAGCTAACTATCAAATGTCATTCATCATTATGCTAAGTCACAGATTGCAAACAGGGACGGGCCGCTGCTGTTGCTGCTAATGCTGCTGTGGCCGGAAACCGGAACCACTCCAAGCTCCCTGACTGCCCTGTGTGTGTGTTGACTTTTTGGTTATCCCTCAAAAACAATTGCGAAAAGTCAAAAGCATTTGATCAGCGCCCACGCTGCAGACACCGCAGGCGCTCAGTTTTGCCCAACAGGAAATTGAAATCAATCCATCAATATGGATTACAAGCACACTGCTGCAAAGGGGGCGGGTACTGTGGAATGGGGCCTCCTCAATGACCAGACCAAGGTGCCAGTCATCATCATCATCATCATCAGGAGCCCATCATTTTGTGTTGAGTTTGCGGCCACTGGATCTCGAGCCAGAGTTCATGATTCTAGTCCCCTCGACCCCGCTGTGCTGTGCTGGACTCATTGGCGCTTTGTATGACTTGCAATTTGACAAGCAGCAGGCTAATTAGTTCCGCACAGATTTGACAAAAATTAATGTCTGTGCCTAACAAGCTACATATACAGAAACAAGACAGACAAATGAGCGCCGATAGAACTAAAGATACTACAGATACAGATACAGATACAGCCATAGTTACAAGTTAGACAAACAAGCGTAGCCAAAATGCCACTCGATTACTAAAAGTGAAGTGCAGCTCAAAGTGCTGATTAGTTTGCTTTAGAAGCGTACTTAAAGGGGGAGGACAGTAAATATGGAAAGAGACTGATGTCTATTGTGTTGAATGTAATTTTGTCCAGACAGCAGACAGTGGACAGTGGAGCTTCGTGCAGATGCATTGTAAGCGCTTTTGGAAGCAAATAAATGCCATGCGATCTGTGCAGAGGCTAAATCACAAGGATGCAGACACAGTCGGGATTAAAACACCTATCGGGTTTTTAATCAGATAATGGCAGAGTAGCTTCCAATAAGCCTGGAATTGTTGTTCTTAATACGTTTGAGCAAATACTTTGAGAAAGTCGTTGAATGATTTGCAATATTAAATATTATAATATTGAATGTCAATGGATGTAAGAATTATCTTAGCCATTAGCTATATTGTGGAACTGCAATAGGCAATATGTGAACAACATTTTACTAATCTAATAAGTAACATCGGGCAGGATCTACATATCCTATTTAACGTAACTGACGGCTAAACAACTTCAACTCAAAGTTAACGCAAACCCCACTTGTTCTCAGTGCGTAGTTGCTTAACTCTAGTGATACTCACTTCTTTTCCCGTTTACCAGCACCAGTATCACGAAAGCCCTTCGCAAAGGGATTGTTGTCAATTTTCAGCTGAGTTATCTGCAAGTACATGTAAATATGTAGAATCAATACAAATGCATGATCAGTCTTTATGGATAGCTTACCTTCTCATTTTGATATGCAGTCACGGCTATAAACTCCGTCTCCTTGAAAACGTACGTGCGAAACGTTGAATATGGTAGCTTCAAGATATCGTTGGCTCGCACCAAATGAAAGCGCGGCTGATATTTATGCATTGAGTTCAGTATTGTCTACAGGAATACAAACAGAAAGAGAAAGGTATAAGGTGTGGAAGAGAGAAAAAGGCAGAGAGAATGGGATTAGTTAGCTTGACATGCAAAATGTAATGGGGCAACAAAAAAAAAAACAAAAAAAAAATTGCACAAAGTATTCCGTCTGTCGGCAGTAACTTGACAAAACTTGACAGGCCCAAACAGAGACACACACACACACACACACACATATATATATATGTCTGGAGTTAAAGTATAGCTACCAAGATATTGCAAATGGCTGTGTGGATATTGCAAGTTGGCGACATTCCTGTAGGCGACCACCCACCAAAGTGCACGAGCCGACCAAGAGACCAGGCCCAAACACAGTGGCAGAGAGAGAGAGAGAGAGAGAAAGAGAGAGAGCGAGCGAGAGATACAGAGAGGGAGAGAGAGAGAGGGAAGAGGGCGTCGGAGTTTAAGTCATAAAATATGAATTTGTCTGCAGCAAACGCGAATGCGAACTCAGGACCCCCCAAGCAACAACATTCGCGACTGTTGCAAAAGGAACACCTTTTTAATTACCATAACTCGTCGAATCGACTTCGATTAAACGACAGCCGAACCCCCGACAACAGAACTGAACACAAATCAACAGAATCAAACCGAAGTGAACTCAACTCGAAGAGCGTATAAAGCAGTGCGGCAGACAAGAAGCCGGAGTCTATGCCGAACCACTAGATCGGACCAGCTCCAGTTGAAGGCTTTACCTTGTTTTCGGCTCTCGTTGCTGCTGCTGTTGCTGCTGCTGCTGCTGTTGCTGCGTGTGGACCCCACAAGCTGTTGATGTTGTTGTTGTTGCTGCTGCTGCTACTACGACGGACTTCGCCATTTTGTTCATGTAATTTTGAAAACATGCACGCGACTTTTGCCTTTAGGCTCTAGCTGTTAGTCTGTGGCTGTGGCTGTGGCTTTAGCTGCCTTGGCTGCTGTTGATGGCGACGACAACAACACCACGGACTGAGAACAGTAACAACTGGCTGGCTGACTGGCTAGCTGGCTGGCTGGCTGGCTGGCTTGTATCTAGTGAGCGTATATATCTTTTATCTGCGCTTGATTTGTACGCCCTTTGTAAGAGACCACCAATGGCGTTTGTGGTGTCAGGCACAAAGGTGTGACTAATAAGACTGTTGTTGCTGTAGTTGTTGTTGTTGCTCATATTCTCAGCAATATATATTTGTATAACTTGTTTTCTGACTTCTTTTTTTTGTGTTAATATAAAGCTGCAGTAACAATAACGTAAAATTACTTAAGCTGCTAAAATGTCAACTGGAGTAGATTCAGAATGAGTAGTGCATTAGCAAAGAGAATGCACAAGAAAATGTATATTTCGCAGCAAGTTAAACAGAAGGTGATATCGATGACCAACCAGTGTTCACAACAGTGAGTAGACAAGCAACGAGTACAGTTGTGCTCATCAGAAAATTACTGAGCTACACTATTTTTATATAGGTTGCCGACAGATAATATCTTACAGTAATTTACAGCAGAGCAAAGTCCCATATTGATATTTACATCAAAAATGATCTGTAACTGTCGTTGAGACCAATTAAAACAATAAACAACAACGAAAGTTAGCCGCTTTAGTTAGCCGTTAGTGTGTTGAACTATCTTAGCTGCTTTCTGATATCCAATTTAATTCATTTCTAAATAACTACAATAACAAAGTTACAGATATGCTCGCAATTGTAAATCGATTATCAGTCATTAAATTGATTCTCACGCTGCTAAAGCAAGCGACTCATCAACTTTGCGGACTTGTTGACGTCTCTCGGTAATTAATATGAATACTGTATGGACTAGTCTGAGTATGCAGTGAGCAGCAGTCGCTTAAAAGTTGTATCTGTAGCCATGGCTATGGTTTTTATTGCCTACCCAAAACGCATCAAGGTTGAAAAACTGATTAATTGTCGGCGTCGCCATTTTGGACTGGACACTCGCTGCAGTTGGCTGGCAGCCAGCACTCAAAAGAACTCACACTCACACTGAAACGGTCTTACACTCGCAATCACAATCACAATCACAATTGCCAAACGCCAAACGCCAAACGCATTCGGTTTTGGACTCGGATTCGGATTCGGAATCGACGGCTGGTGAATTGCTTGTGACATGGCCGAATTGGGCCAGGCTTAAAAGGCAAAGGCAAGCAGTTTATTGCCAAGCGGCTTGCTGTGCGCTCATCAATCAAATCAAGCCGAGACGCTGAGTCGCAATCGTTTCTTAGTCCATAAATCGTTTGGCGCAAAGCGCGTTATTCGTCGTCGTCTACTTAAAACGTCGTTTGCTAATTTGCTTTAAATTTATTGACACATAAATTCATTTGGCAACAGCAGTAACAACAACAACAACAACAATAACAACAACGGCAAAAGCAACAACATCATCTGCATTACTGGTTGTGCGTTTTGCATGTGTCTAGAATTTATTGATAAAACAATTTGCATTATTACGTTCAATTTTATTCAATTTCTTTTTTTTTTTTTTTGTTCCCTCTTTTTAAGTTGTGCCTCGCAACGAGTTTCGCATTTTTTCATGCAACTAAACTGTTGTTGAGGTGCGTTCAGTGGAGCTGGACGGGGGAGCGCAAAATGTATTGCAAAAGGCGCAAAATTGTCATTTAAAATGTCATTCGTCGACGAGCTGCCAAGCTTGAATTGCGATTTAAATGAAAATAACCGTGAAGATACCCATAAAAAAAAAAATAAATAAATAATATGTGCATGCAACACAGCAATGTGCTTGCTGTTGTTGTGGCTGTTGTTGCTGCTGCTGCTGCTGCTGCTGCTGCGTTTCAGTTTTCCAAATGGGCATAAACAAGGCTAATTAGACATGAAGTGCGATTACACAGACGCCACGCAGTCGTCGTCGTCGTCGTCGTCGTCGTCGTCGTCGTCGTCGTCGTCGTAGTCGTCATAAAACAAGCAACAAATCAGCTGAGGCAGCCACCGCAGCAATAGTTGCTCTTGCTTTTTATTATTGTTGCTGTAGCTAGCCAGACAAAAGACAGAAGGCTACAGTTGTTGGTGCTGCTATTGAGATTGTTGCTGTTTTGATTTTATTCACTGATTGAATTGATTGGCAAGCAGCTTTAATGCAATTATACGTCAAATATTGTATAGATTTCTTAGATTTTTTGTATATGATTGTTTCGTGTGCATCTAATGCAAAATGCAGTTACAATTGCTATTGCTGTGACTGTTGCTCTTGCATTGCGGCACGTTTATAGGCGGTTGCAAGTCGCCTGGCACCTTGTCCACTTGGCCAACTCCAATTCAATCCATGGGCCACTTAATCACTCTATATATCGCCCGGATGACAAACTGATTGAGCCGCCGGTAGCTACAACCAAAAAAGGCAGCAGCAATTTTGGTGCTGATGCTGCTGTTGCTACGGGGCTACGTGCTGCTGTTGCTTGGAGTCGCATCTTTCACACTAGTCATGTGTCCCGATACTCAATAGCGCGTCTCCTCCTCCTCGTCCACCTCCTCCGACTACGCCCCAGCCCCTGCCCCTATCCCTGCTGCCCAGCCACATGTCACGTTTGCTTTGGGCTTTTGCGTGTTGATTGCTGTTGTTGCTTGCTCATTGCTGTAGTTGCTGCTGTTGCGATTGCTGTCGCTGCTGCTGTTGCACACTCATTGTTGGCATATTATCACATAATTTAACTGATGATGGCACCGCAGTTGCTGTTGTTATTGGCATTGTTGCTGTTGTTGCAGTTGGTATTGGCTGGCTTGTTTGCTCACAGCGCTGTGTGATTGCTGTTGTCAACTTGTTGTTGTTCTTGTTGATTTTATTGCTGTTGTTGTTGTTGTTGTTGCTGTTGCTGCTGCAGCAACTACTGACGGTTGTCCGCTGTCTGTTGTTGTCGGATGTTGGCGTGCTGCTTAATTGAATGATCACTCACACTTTGATTTGGCATGTTTTGTTCGCATGCAACCACCAGCAGCAGTAGCAGCAGCAGCAGCAGCAGCAGAAGCAGAAGCAGCAGCAGCAATAACACGGACGATCGCTAACGGTTATCGACAGTTGCATCGACCGAACTCCTCTTAACTTCTACAGCGATATCTTCACTTGATCGTGAGTGAATGCCAGCAACCGCAACTGCCTCAAATTACAGCTAGTTGCAATCTTCTGCAATTGGTATGCACTTTTGAGTAGCTGCAATGATCTGAAGTGTAGAGCAGGCATGTAAATAGCTCGGTGCAGTAATAAGGAGTATTTATCGATAACTCGATTCAAAATGCTTTTTTCGTTTGGTTATGTATAATATTTCGATAATTCGAAATCCACCGAATTCTGTATCGATACATTTAGCGTATAAGTTCCATTTAATTTGGATTTAGATTGTGGCTTATTCATTGATGCTACAATAGTCAGACGAGATCGAAATAATGCTCTTAAAGTGTCAGCAATGGTGTATAGATGATTTTAGTATATCGATATGGAATTGTTATCAATCAATGAGTGTAATTTTGACTTGTATGCAAACTTTGTTTTAGCTAATTCTTTATAATTTTCACAATTTAAATGTCATATAATCGAGCCCACTCGTTTTGGCCAAGTTCTAAGACACCGCTGCGTTAGCAGCTAATCTTTGGCTTGCTCTCACACTCCCCAGCTTTCCAGTTACTGCTGGCTGCTCAATTAGGCAACACAGGCAAACAGGCAGGCAGCTACCAAAACCATTTTCGGCTACCTGTTGACCAATTATGGACATAATTGAAGGCGCCGACAACGACAATGATGATGATGATGATGACGACGATGATGATGATGATGACGACGACGATGATGATGATGATGACAATGACGATGTCGTCTGCTGGCTGCTGCAGTAGAATGTGGAGGCTCAATTCATATTGAGCATTGGGTTTTATAAAGCTGTCGCTAGATTGTCTTAAGCTGCTTTCTGAAAGCTAAATCGATATGCATATTGAGCGATCTATACCATAAATATCAACACGAAACGCGGCTCG